TATTTAAACAAAGGTTTTCTAAACATAGGAGTTCGACTGCAGTACGATACGGGATACAAGAGTACGTGTGCGTTATAAATAACAGATATATGTAAACATTCCTCATACATACACGATAAACTACAGCTGCGCATAAAATACTTGAGGTGGACGTAAACTCTTAAAGTTTTACGGAGCATCGTCACGTCCGCTTGCGAACGCAGCCAAACATCGTCTGAACGCAACAAAAACACGTGGGTAACTTCGCTCCGAGGGGCGGAGCTTACACATACAGCCAGCCAATCAACAAGTCTGATTCATCGTTGCTCTCGCTTTGATATCATACTGTCTCCTTCCAATTCGTAGATTACCGTAGTCGATCCTTCATACTGAAGTATGATTTTTTTATAATCATTTTAAAGTTGGCAAATATGGTGGAGTCCGCAGTTTGTGTGCGAATGTTGCCAAATTGTATGTAAGTGTGTTTGTGTTACGGTTTCGAGGTTCTTATGAGATAAACTTTTATTAAATGTTCTTGTTTTATAGAGATACTCATATTATTTGGCTTTTGTTTGGAGAATTCGTTCTGTTTCATTTTTCATGTTCTTTAATTGACTATTATTTCTTTAAATTGACTATTGTTAAATGTTAAACGGTTTGATGTTCAGGTTCTAGAGAGTTGTAACTTTTTATTTTCAATTTCACTAAGTTTATTAATTTTCACGAACATAAACACTGAGTAATGAGTATTTTATTAAAATCCAATGAACAGGAAGTTTGATGGCTATAGATAGCTATACTTATCTATCTACTTACTTTACGTTCCAGTTCCCGATAATTACCTAACTAGTCATAAATATTATGTTAACAACTTTCTACATCAGTCAATCTGTATTAGAATCGCAATAAATCAAACGTTAATTAGGTAATTATTTAGCACTACATACAGAGACGTTTATAAATATGACTGTAACCTATTAATAGGTATAACTGTAACCAGTTTTTATATTAATGAAAATAAATTAACATCGATCTGTAACGGAATTCGCAATAGAATGCTTGTTAAGCAAAACAATAATCCGTAAGTGATCAAACCTTTATCTTATTTTTTTTTGTTCAGTGGAATTCCAAATTTAAATTTAATTAACACGTTAAGCGCCATGGGGGTCACCGGTGACCTCCGTTAGCGGAGGATTCGCCTTCAACATTTTAGTTAGCAACACTTTCGTGTGTATCGCCGTGTGAGTGAGGTTACCGGAGGCCCAATCCTTCTCCCCTATCCTTAATCCTCAAATCACCCTATCCTTAAATCCTTAATAACCAACAAGAGGTCGACAACGCACTCGTAGTAACTCCTTTGGCATAACGAGTGTCCATGGGCGGCGCTGATTGATTACCACCAGGCTATCAGAATGCTAGGTGGCCGACTTATCAAATAAAAAAAATTCTTGCTGAAAATAAGAGCATCCATTTTCTCTCCACTTAACAAAGTTGATGCTAGACGCTGCTTTCGATTTTGGAATGCATTTTAAAATACTTATCAAAGTTATCAAAGACAAACTTAAAGAGAAAACTATGTAGTCTTTTGTGATATTAACAATTAGATAGGTATTTGTTATATGTTCTTTTCATTAAATATATAGGTTTTATAAGAAAATAAAATGTATGTTTTACCCCAATGTAATAAACAAAAAAAAAATGATATTCAATCAGAAAGTGAGAAGAACTTGATTAGTACTCTCTCTCTTGATTAGTTTGTGAATGAATGAATATATTTTGTAGGTAACAGTAAATATTTTATATTCATTCATCCAAAATGTTAAAAGGAAATAACACGTTAATACTAAAACGTTTATACCACCAACTTCCTACTGATTAACATAAAATCTAATTAAAGAAATATATTAACTAATTGATGACATAAAAATTAACCTTAATCTAAATCGAACATTAGTTACGGTGCTGTAAATATTTTCCATCATAAATATCGGACCAATTTATATTTCAACTCCATAAATACTTTTATTATACTGAACGCGGTGTAATTTCAACTTTAACTGTGAGGGTTTAAAGTATATTGTAGGTTGTAGGGATGTAGTGTGAGGTGTGTAGTAGGCAGATGATAAAAGGCCGACAAAGCAAAGGTGTCGGCTAATTGATGCGGTGGGAAGGAAACAGGGACGCGGCGGGAATACGCGGTCGCACTCCCAGCGGGCAGCGGCAGCGGCAGCGGCTTCCAGGAGCGCAGAGTGGGAGCGGGGAGCGGAATAGCAATGTGGTGCACGTGAAAAATGTTTTTGAATACTTAAAATCGAAAATTTTCTATGAATTGTTCAGGAGCTAGCATGTAGTGTGAAAAGTCGATATAATTTATTTTTGACTGAGTGAAGTAGGTACCCAAATTGTAATAACACACTGATATTAATAGGAAAACCACACCGTAATATTAGTGGTTAATTCGTAGAAAGCGAAAATTTAAAGTTTATTGTTGCTAGCTATTTATTTATTTAAAGTCAAAGTCAAAAATCATTTATTCCAATTAGACCTTCACAGGCACTTTATATAGTGTCAGTCTGTCGGTCAGTCCTCTTAGTGAAGCTATTTGCTCGTTCCAAAGTGTAGATTCCGATGGAGAAGAACGCAAGAAACTCCACAAAGAGCAAAACTTTCTATTCTACAATACCTTAGCAGTCATAATAATTACAAACAGTAGATACATATGTTGTTATACAAGGTCATACGTTGATCACATACCTAACCTAATATATCGACTCAAAATAATAGAGGGATTCTATTATATTATCCTCCTGTATGTTATAGTATAGTTTAAAGATGAACTTAATATATTACATAATAGAGACTAACTGATTAACTAAGTAACACTATATCAACGATATGACCAGTCTATAATTAGATAGATAAGTTTCTCGCTGTCATTGGCACCCTGTCCTCAAATCCTGTATTGTATGACATCCGGTGTGGACAATACCGCGGGCCGCCATTGTATGCTCACATATACTGGTCCATTGCCCACTGCCCAGCATCCTTGTTGGCCAACACACGGAGATATTAATCTCATTGTGACGGTTAAGGTTTATAACTCGCTATTTTCATATCGAGGGCGAGATGTGTTATGATACAAGCGATTAGCTGCTGTATTCATGACCTCTGAAGTTAGTTTTTTAAACTGGTTCTTGTGATATTGTGTGTAAGAGCAAAAAAATGTTTGTAATGATAATAAATGCCTATTAATTGTAGGACTTATCACAGTTTGCAATGCCTGAAATACCGCCAAGCATGGCTTATCAATTAAATACTAGTAGGTAATACTTTATTTGTATACTTAGCAAACATACCTATTAATATTTTTGTCTTCGACTACCTGTCCTCATAAATTCGATCTCAGAAGTTTGATGAATTAAATCAGTATTGACTTTACTAAATTATTGGAAATAAAATCTATAAACAATATTTTGTTCAGGAAAATGAAAAAAAAATCTATACATGAAAAATATTGCAGTCAAAATATATGATTTTTATATTAAACAATTTAAAAACCGAACATTTGATTAAGATTCTGTGCTTGCTTATTCATTAGTCTTTTTAAGAAACAGCCTGTAAGACTCAGCAGAGGCCAATTTAAAAAGGAATCATTATGATAATGATCTGATGTTAAAAAGTTTAACCAATTATTTATTCTTAATGTTATAACCAATTATTTAACATTCGACTGTCTTCAACAAAAATTCAAAATATACCAAAAACTTTTCGTAGGTCACAATTTTATGTCGAATTGAACGATAAGAATTTAGAAAATGATTAGTTAAAAAAAACTAACCCACATCCTGTGAGCTGCGCCTGCGCCGGGCTGCGCAGGATGCGTAAGCGATTCCGATTTCATATTACTAGTTAAAAAACCGTTTATTGTTCCGCCATCTTTATTGAGACCCCCATTATTGGGGGATTTAAAAAACGAATTATAAAACTAAAAGTGTGGCTTTGTGATGTGTATTTGATTGTCTGTTTGTATGTGTGTGTGCGTCAGTGTGTGGGTCATTGTTGTTTGATATGATCGGTTATTTTAAAACGTAATTGTAGATAATTGCATTATTTAGGGGACATTTTTTGTGGTTTTTCAATTGTTGCTCAAATTTGTTTTATTGTGTAAGAGCTGTAAAGAATAAAGTAAATACACAATTAAATTGGAAATAAGATATATTTAATGCAATAATTGATATTTGATATATTTGAGATTCTAAAAAACATTTTAGTAAAAAATACTTTGATTTGATTTTAAGACATTAAAACTTTTAACTTATCATTTTTCCATTTGTAAAATTTAAAAGAAATTATAATAGTATTCTCTTGCTAAATGTAATAGTAATTAGGACCAAATCTGAAAAAAACACCAGTTCATCGTCAGTTTTCTCACAAGTCTATTGAGAAAGCTATCTCGAGTGTATAATAAGCGAGGCGACAAGCAATTAATCAAGTGGAATATATCTGCGGAGCTGCGCGACTTGCACTCACTGCCGTCCCTCAGCAGATGTCTCTAATTCTATGGGTGTTTTATTTCTTACAAATCGAGTGCCGTGTCAATTAATATAATATTTGTCACATAAATAACCGGAGATCCTTCCGCTATTATCCGAACGCATAAACTCTGCCATTCCAGCTTATTATTCGTAGCACAATAGTTTTTAGCGGGCGCGGGGCGCGGGGCGACGCGGAGGGGGGGCGGCCCGCAAAAACTGCACCCGACTTAATTATAAAGAGACAAGAAGCGCCATTAAATAGCGATTCGTTAAATCTACGCTCTCGTGTTAACACCACACGTGCTCCATCCCGCTCACTCGTATAGCGATCAGAGCGGGACGCACGTAGGTTTGGGGCGACAGCTTGGTTTAGGGGCGGCGTCCGCGATATAAGGTTTAGATTGACTGGGCGGCGTTCTCTATTCACGTTTTTTTCTGTTTGCGAGCAAAAGCGTCGGTGAGAGCTTTTCATTTGGTGTCGGGTCGCGCGAGCGGGCGCACGCATTGCTCTCTGGAGTGCAATGACCGAGTGACGTCCATCGGACTTGTGGTGTATATTGTATATGCAGTGAACTGTACCAAGATGTCGGAGTTGCGTGGTTCGCCGCCCTTGTCCCGTGGGCTCGAGAATGGTTTCGGGGCTCCGCTAGCGGCGCTGAGCTCGCTGGCCGAGGCGCCTCCTCCGGCGCCGAACCCTCACGGCATCGACCACATCTTGTCGCGGCCGACGGTGGGCAGCAACGTGGGCGCCGGGTTGCTGGCGCCGCGGCTGTCGCTGGCGGCGGCGGCGGCCGGCATGGCGCACTACTTGCAGCACAAGCCGCTGTACTGGCCTGGCTTCCAGGGCCTCGTCTCCAACCCCATGGCGTGGCGAGAGCGCCTGCAGTCGAGTGAGTAAATCAACACTTTGTTCCTTACATCTTAGAGACCGATCTAGTTGGAACCTTTGTTCTCCACGAAACAAAACATTTTGGGAACTTGGCTGTTGGCTGATTGTCTTTCAAAGAAACTTTTATGACATAAAACCACATCTCATGTTTAGTAAAATATGACTGTAATATTAATCGGCTGTAACAACGATCTACAGGTGGAACAAAGAAATTTTAAATCACGGACGTCGGTAATTTGATGTAACTATGGATTAAATAACTATGTATTTAAATACAAAATCATCAATATTCATGAAGTTTACAAAAACCTATTAAATAGGTAGTGAACATTATTGTATGGTTCATTAAATTGTTTTTATGTTATTTGTACACAAATAACTAAAGAAGTCAATAGTCGTATAAAAGACATCAACGCGTCGCGCTTGATTACGATGTAATGTGTGCCACTAATGACTAAAGGATTAGGCAGTTTTTTTTATAATTAGCTTAAATTTTAATAAGTATGTAATATCGAATAAATTATAAACGAGTAAGTTAGATTTTATTTAAATACCGTCAGCAATAAATGTGCCTCTTGCAATACGACAGCTATTATTTTATAGAATAAACGTGTATTTTATACGGACGGTCAATAAAATCTTATAAAGAAGATTTAGAACATTGGCAATAGATTGATGTCAATTTATTATTAATATTGTATTTAATTTGCATTTATAAGACAAACACTAGGTATTATTTGACTACATCTATTGGCTTATAGGTATATAGCTTTACGATGGTTGAGCAGATTGTTAAAATATTTGCAATATGTAAGTTATACATATTAAAGTATCACAATTTCTTATTACTACAATTTTATTAGATTCCCACTATACTTATACACCTCATAACAAACTTAAAATCATAGAAACCAAATCTTAGCTCATAACAATAGTAATACAAACCACAACATAACCGGAAGGACGTCACGAAGGCTCCGTTAGTTCCGAGTTCCGGTGGCCGTCGGGCTTGTACCGTCGGCCCTCAGCGGACGTTTATAGCCCTAGGGCCGTTTGTGGCCGTTTCTCCGACATTAAGGCTTTGTTCACGTACGTCTGAACAGCGCCTGAAATAATTCACTCGATTGTTACTGAAGATATAGTCGAGGGAGGCTTGTGATTTTTGTTACGAGCGCATAAAATGGAAATTTGAATATTTTGGGGCTTTGTTCTCGTTTATTGAATTTTGTGTCTATTGTTTTTATTAGAATATTATTAGAAATATGTATTCACGTTTCCATTGTAAATTTTCTGTCAAAGAAAGGCACAGATATATTACAGCGTTGAGTAATTAATTACAACAGATTCTTAATAATAATTGAAAATAGTAGACGTTTGTTCAGTTAATTTACGTGATTTAGTCGTCATCTTATATATAAAAATGAAATGCTGTTCGTTAGTCTCGCTAAAACTCGAGAAAGGCTGGACCGACATGGCTTATTGTGGTCTTGAAATATTCTTGGATATACCGGGAAGGTTTAAAAGAAGAAAAAAAAAACAAAAAAGAAAAAAAATAGTTGCTATATTTGAGGCAGTACAAAGTTTGCCGAGTCAGCTAGTTTTCAATAAATAGAATTTAATAAATCTAAAAGTAAATTTATTAATAATTGTCACTTATTTATGTAGTAATTAATCCTTTTGAAATTTTTAGACATATATCTGGCAGTATATATACTATATCTGGCAGTATGTACATATGTACAAAGATGTAAGCTAGTTCCGGCAATAGATATAAATATCTAACATAATTATGTGCTGCTAACTATCAACAATTTTAAACGAAAAAATCATATTTATTATAAAAATTAAAAAAAAACATATTTGTTGCATCTCTAAATAGCAATTTCATTGGAACTAAATACAAAGAAGCTTTTTGTTAGCGGTTTAACTAGTAGTCAATGCATAATAGCCTATGTATTTTATTTTACAGTGTCTCTGTGCCAAGTTTCGTTCAGTGGTTTTTAAGTACAATTGTTACAAACATCAAAACTGAAGAAATTTACGCGTTTATTATAATAGTAACACGCGTAAGGATATCTTTTGCATAGTTACCTAAATGAGCGTTGTCTTTTCTAAAAAAGCGAAAAACTTGATCAGATTAAAATATTTAAATGTTTTAATAAACGGTGTTCCAACAAATACAAAATCAGATCTATTAGTACCTACTTACTTATGTATCTTACATACATAAAACATAAATCCGCACTATACAAACAACAAAACATTATTTATTGAAAACAAACAAATCTTAATATCCAATAATAAATTGAGTTTTTCGAATTTAAATTACATAAAGTTCCACAAAGTATCGATCGGCTGTTACAACAAATATTATATCGACAGTCATTTGTTCTTCGGTATTAATAAATGCGCGTGCGCCGCGTACCGATTGATTCTTGTACGACATAATACTCATTGATCGCGCTACATTGGATGTTTTTCAATAAACAATTTTATTAAGTGTCTTGTATGTTGGTAATGTATTGTATCTCTATTTTGTCTTAATGTATATTTTTCATTACTGATATTAATAATAGATGGACAACTAAAGGGCAAAAGTGCATTTTCTTTTATTATTATGCGGCGTTTTGTCATTGATTCTTGATAACTTTAATCAACCACATGTACGAAATAGATGGTCTACGTCCATTAATATTATCAGATAATCATTATTCTAAACATCCTAACTAAATATTGTATACTAATATTAATACTAAATATATATTTATCAAAATCGATCTAAAAATATATCTCAATAATGAAATATATAAAGGCTTTGTCACATAAATAGGAGTTAATCGTCGGTGAATTTCGTCTATTCTATCGACTTTAATACAGAGATTATTGAACTGTATGCCGAATTTAAAATATTTTGTAAATTATTTCGCAGGAAATATGTCAATTTGTCACATAAATGTGAGTATAAAAGAGATCAGTTTGGTGTGGCAGGAGTTTGTGAGTTATTGTCGATGTGTGGGTGTGGTATCGAGTCGGTCATCATCAATGGACTGGTGATTGGTTTAGGGAAATATCTTGTCATCAGTTTTTTTATCAAAGATTGTACGCCGACTATGTTGTTATTTAAAGATATTTTTTTTGTAGCTGTAGAATTATTTTTTGTTAGCAATTAAATATTAATTATTGTTGAATGTAGGTACCGAAAAATAAGCCAAATAATTTAATTTTAGTCTTTAAAAATAGAAAATATATGTAACCGTGGCTTCGCCAATGAAGTTAGGTAGCCTTATTGTTTGCAAAGTATGCAGTAAAGAGTTAAGCGGAACCGAAAAAGCATGAAAATCCATCAACACGCTTTTAAAACTTTTTATTTGATACCTAATAATTTGTAGGACGTTAATTGGCACATTAGCGGGAACAGCGGCTAGGCAACTGGCTGCTAAGTACTGTGTCACGGGTTCAATTCTCACTCGGAACAACTCCTTGTGTGATCCACAGATAGTTGTTAAAGAACTAGGTGTACTGTGTATGTTTGTAAACACACTACAACAAAAAAATCTAGTGAAGATCAATTTTCTAAAATATATTTAAACCTTATTTAAAAAAGGAAGGTTGTGCTTACATGAAATCCAAATAAAAAGTTTATTGTATCTACAAAATTAACTTCATACTTGTAACAAACCCATAATTGATCGTAACCAACCAAAAGCAGGTTGTTGAACACATTGGAAGCCGGCACGAGACGGCAATATCATAAAATAAAACAAGAGAGCGTCGCTACACAAGTACACGTCAGCATCACTCCTCCTCAATGAGGGGAACAACTGTTCTTACACGAAACAAGCTGTTTCATTAACAGATCCAAGTTTCCGTATCAATAACCTTATGTACATATCTATCCGATACAAACCCAGAACCACATCTGGTATGAGAGATTTGAATATCGATGGAGTTTGAATTACACTTTTTAATACGAAAACTGATACAATATTATTTCTTTATATACGGATATCCCGGTCCGAAATGTCATCAAATCAAATAATTTATTAATTTGCAAACATTGGTATGTATATAGTACATAGGTGTAGTTTACATAATAAAGTTCTCCATATTTTACCGTCACATTGGCATGCAAATTTTTGTTTTACATTACAAAATAATACATTAGTGAATATAAGACATGTAACATTAATTTGTTATACGGTTTTTAAATAAAATGTTAATCGGAATTATTATGAATTAAGAAAAGTTAAAGTCAATTAGGGTCAGTCATATCCATAGTATTATTGTTTATTAATTGTTATAAGTCGTGCGGTTGATCCTTGTATCGCCGTCAATCGATACTGCGCCCGAGTGTGCGATGATGCGCCGCTAATCTCTGCACTCGAGATAGCCGCGTGTCGGTTGTTTGTTGTTGTTGCAATTGTGTAATGACGACTTGTTAAATAAGAATGTTCATAATCTGTGTATTATTGAACATTAAAGAATAATACACAATTTTATGAGTTTAAAATTTAAAAAAGATTTTTTTTTTGATTTGTGATTTGCACTTTCTGACTGAATTGACGTGTAGACAAGTTGCTCAAAATACATACATGCGTTGTAATTATATAAATTTGATAACTGTTCGACTTACCCTTATTATTTGAATCATTTAGTCAATAAACAGGAAAATAATTCGACGAATAATAATATTACAGAGAAGTACAGTCAGACCCAAAAAGTTATCGCAACATTTGACAAGTTGATTACAGTTGCGCCATAAAAGTAATTCGTGGGATCACTATAACCTCAATCAATTATATTATTATTGATAAACTCGCAAAGTTTCCTAAGCCTTCATATCAGTTTTATTAAAAAAACACAAAATATAATAACATTTGATGTCACTGCGTCACGGATCGCAACAGATTTTAATAAAAAGCCAACATATCGAGTTAGATAGTCACGGCGAAGAGCTTATTAAATGACACGTGATAACATAATGCTGCTATCAGTTGATAAGTGATCAAGTAATAATGTGTAATGTCAAGTATTTCACGTTTGACACGACGCAATTACTTTGTCAGCGTCGCCTCCTATCGCGGCTTATAATATCGACTGCACACATTGCAAACACATACGAACAATATAATTAAATTGTCCGTCATAACGTTTATCTACTAACAATATTACATGCGATGTTATTTCGATGTTATTAAAACTGAGTGCCATATTTTGGGGGTGACTGTACTCGAGTGCGCTGCTACTGTATGTGACGACGAGTTTTGGCTCCAAATCAAAGTTATTGTGATGTGACGAGCTCTTGAATGTATTTATTTACAATGTATTTTATGTTGATTCACCGAAAAATAAAATCGATAGAAATAATTGAATGTATTTTACACAAAATTTCTAGATTTATCTAGAAATCTGGAGTTCTAGATTTATCATTTCAAAGAATGCTCTGCTCTTTTTCAGTATCAGAAATTAGCAATGAAGTACTCTGTCGTGTAAGCATAAATAGATAATTTGTCGCACTTTGTCTAGATTCAACAATGACTTTATACTGGTAACTTTCAAAGTCACATGCGTTATTAGCAACGATCCAATAGCCAACAATATTAGTCTATTGAGAGTAATGCTAAAGTAGCAACAACTTTGAATAAACGACGCAATGCCCAAAACGCAAAATTTAAAACAACTTGCCCAATTACGTGCACAAACAGAGGCACTACACAAAACATTAAGAGATTATTATTAGAATCCCAAAAACATTTGGGAAATTATTAATTAGTTAGGGCGTGCGCGGCGCGTTAGGCTGCGGTCACACTGGCCGCGCACGAATGAAGTGCCACACATTTTTTTAATTACAGTGTGTCTCCACCCCCGCCTCGGTCCACCCCCGAGGGGGCTCGAGCCCCCCGGGCCAGCATATGTCGCCCGGAATTAAAATTCACGTTTCGTGATGCAACATTCAATTGTGTCCGGTCATTCGATAGTGGGACGGTTAAATGAAGTGTTTTTGGCAAAAAGTATGTTTTTGTTAGTAGTTGGTGGGTGAAGTATGGTAATTGTAGCCGTCGCTCGGTCGCAGGAATACCGCAAATTGGTTCGTTTTATTAGGTTTTGTTGCAACTGTTTTATGTGCTCGCGTCCATGCACCGCGCTGCGCCGGAAACTTTGTCCGTGTTACTGTATGTTATAGTCAACAGGACACAAAACTAAGTATAAATATGACTCAGCAGATACAATAGATATTGTTACACTAAATCATACGGCTTTGAATAAAGTCTTATCATTCATAACCATTGGTCGGGCCAGCAGTCAAACATCAGTTACTATTTCTGTACTGAAACTGAATTATTATTTCATAATTATATACCAAACAACTGTGCTGACTCACACACAAGTTTTCAAGGATTAACATAATTATTATGGTATTTGCAACATCGTAAAAAGTTGGCTCTTGTTTGTTATTATAGCCAGAGATAAAAGAGATACACTGTGAAAGTTGTTTCCTAAAAGGTACATCAAAAGTGTAAATCATCCCAATTACCGAAATGCTTATAGAAATGTCGCCATCATTAAAAGAAAAAAACATCAAATGTCGTAACAATGAAAAGTTATTTGATATTTACCTTCATATTATGTAAAAAGTATCAACAAAACTCTGGTTGTCTCTATTATTTCCAATATTCCGTATTCTCTTCACACACCAGAACATAATTCAGAACGAAAATACAACTAATATTGTATTCAAACATTGTTTAAAAATCATTGCTCAATTATTTCTTCTAAACTGATAATTGTTTTCATAGCCCTCTGAAAGTGGTCATGAAAGTGGCACAACGGGGCACAATTACACGTCGGACGTAAAGGCACAATCTCTGCCGAGCTGGGCCCCGCGCCCCGCGACTCGGGCCCCTGGGCCCCTCGCCCGGCCTAATGAAATTAAATTAAGAAATAACATAATTCCGCCCGCCGCCGCCCGCTCACCGCACATTTTCGCGTACACCCCTAGCGGTAGGGCTGTCGACGGTTTCATATTTGGATGCTGAACTTAACTGGTGCTTCTATTGAGCATATTATTTCAAAGAATAATATCTCATATTTTCATTAGGTTTATTTAAGAACTTTATACATTTTTTTTTCTATCAATCGTTGAAATAGTAAGTAGTAAGAGTATCTTATTTCCATAGTCTCGTCCACTACGCGTGCAGCCCTAGTGGTCTCTGGTTAGAGGAGGGAGCCCCCCCCCCCTCGGTCTCCATCTTTGTTTTTCGCGATGAAGTGACGGTTATTATAGGGCTGTGTCGATGTATTATGTTGTTTTCTTTGTTAAATAATAGACGGCCATAGTTTTTCAGTTAGGAAAATTAATTTATGTGTTTTTATAATACGTGGTGAGTTTGTGGTACTCTTGTGTGTTTCTTATTATTTGTGATGAAGAGACGGATAGCTGGTTTATGATTGGTTGTGTCATTATTTCAGTAAAGTAATGTAAATTCCAATGTTTAAATATCACCATGACTCATTGCCAAATAAACAGGAATTGCATAAATAATTGATTGATCTGATATCCGTATATCATGTCACATATAGATAGTAGTTGTATAAGATAATTCAACATACATCTAGAGCACTCGTTACATATGATATAGCGAGTAAATCCCTAGAAAAGTTGTCAAGTAACAACAATACACAGAACAATAACATAAGAGTACATGGCTCGAAGATAAAACGCCTCTTAATACACCCATATTGTTATATGAGACGGTCGCCGCCCGCAAGTTGTCCGGCGCCCGGCGCTCGTGCCCGGCCGGACAAAAACCGGACAGTTATCAAAGTGATATCAGCGAGGATGGCGGGTGGCCGACACAAAAACTGCACTTATGACGGGATAACGATCCATGTAAACAGGAATAGTTTCACTTTATACGTTACTTTGTGAAGATTTTCAAATTGCGTTGTGTTATCTTTGATAACAATAGAACAATCTTAACCAGAAATTTCAAATGAAAATTCGTTAATAGGTATATGAATAACATTAAATTATCACAAAGTACATTGAAAAAAGGTCCCGTCAGTAAAGTAACATATGTATGTGAGGCCAATATAGTTCACATCAGTATCTGTAGTAACAAGTTCGAGATAATACAATCAACAATACATGTCGTGATACCGAAAATATAAAAAAAGAAATAAACCGCGTAGCATTTTAATAATGTGCTACGAAGCTTTGATGCGCCGCTACGAGATATGCTACGAACAAATGTCGCAGCTACGGCGTAGCGATAAGGGTGACTGCACGATCGCTACACATTCTTGGGAAAAGAATATTTTGGATAATTTTTTTATATGGTTTTAATGTTATAAAAAACTTTAAATAATGAAAATTGTATAAGGAATGTTTTTATCATTGTGTGTGTTTGTTATGTTAATCAAACGGGAAAAATAGGTTTTAAATTTTTGTGCACCTTCAAGTACCTGAGCAACAGTCCACGTAATCACTAAAACTCGAACACCATAGAAGTTATCTTTCAAGTTACTTATCACCGAAATAGTTTATCAGTCGCGATTGTGTGCCCGTCCTAGCGTTATCTGTCGCGCAGGTGTGTTGCGTGTCGCCGACACACGGCGCGCGGCGCGACGCGACATATCGCTTTATTACAAGCGATCGCTTGTACGACACGCGTATTGCCTGTCGCACGATTATGGCCCTCCTTATGAAAACGCGTGCCATGAATACCGAGCTTCAGGAATAAGGAAGCGATGACGTCGACTGCTCGCTTTTATTATCATTGTACGGACAAATGAAACTGAGTGTTTCACTTTTATGTTTTCAGATGGTTTCAACGGTTTTTCGGGATTCTTCTTGTATATTACATGAGAGGTTGAAAGTTGCAATGTTATGCCTGTTTATATGAGTTACTTGTATTTGACGCGTGTTTGTATTTGTGAAATATTATGTAAGGAAAGATAATATTCAAATAACTTTCTTTGTTTAAGATGATGCAGTGTCCAATATTTCGTTATTTTTATAAAATATTAAAATACATTTTCCTTGCTTATAGCTTAACAAAGTTATGTTATCCCTAAAGTACTAGAATTCACAACAAGTTTAAAACAAAAAGCACAAATAAACAGCCACCAATTTGAAGTTTGTTTTGCATTGAGTTGTTGAAGTAGAGCGTGACGCCGCCACCGCCAGTCTCCAAAGAGTTGTAAAGCCTCCTTCCTGCAAACTCGACGCGTTAACTGCTCGCAATCAAAGCCTGCGGTTATCTTATAAACGGAGACAACTGAAGAACGCTAACTGTGACAAACATTAAGTGTAAACTACCCTCAGGAAAGTCCCCGACAACGTTACAATTAAAACCTTTTGAGGGCACCCTGTATCACCCCCTCGTAGCTACAGGGTGCGGTAAGAGTGGGGGTGGTACAGGGGGCGCGACTTATTTGTAGATGATAGAGCACAGATTTTGTGTGTTTGTCTGTTGTTTGTATTAATTGTGTTGTGTTTGTATGTCACACACGTGTGTTGTATGCATATGTGTGTTTCAGAAGATTAACGTAACAAGTAGACACTGAATCTGAGTTTATAGGTATATTGTTAAGAAGTGGTTGTTCAGTCGTAAACGTTATATTGCACAAGAATCAAATAATTTTCCTCACTATATATAAAATGGCCGCCGCAGCCACACGCAGTACCTACTAAACAAGATCACACAAAAGATATGAGTACAAACGTATATACTGGGCACATATTTGTTCGAGGCGCCACAAAAGGCTCGCCCCAAAGAAGGCTCATGATCCGCGCACGTTAACAGGGGCAGGCGTCCCCGGGGCTCCGCGGGGGCTCCACTGCTCGTTAGCCCTCCAATTGAGACGCCCTCGACTGCCCGCCGGAATACCAACATGTGGCCCTTTATGTACGCGCCGCGTTTTTGTTTCGTTTTAATTCCCTTATCAATATCGAGGTGAATGACAACAACTGACTTGTTTTGTTGATTTCATATACATATATTATCAAAGAGGCAGAACTTTTTGATTTGATAAGTTGAGGTAAAATTTGGTCATTGTCTCGGAGTCAGCCACAAATCATTACTTTATCATTGACCATGCAAAGATTTGATTTCTTCCCCTCGCACGTTCAAGTTACAATACATGCTAAAAAGCATAATAATATATCTAGTATATTCTATACTGTTCATTCACTTGCTCATCGTAAAACAAGACAGTTTCGTATTTACCTCTGAAAGGCTTTCAATGCACACCCCTGGTGGGTGGTCCCACGCGAAGGGGTTGCGGTCGCCCCCTCGGCGGGTCCCTCCCGGCACGGATTTGTACGTAATTGTGTATTTCATATAATTGTTTCACATCGCTTCACGGCTCGTGAACGAAGATGTTGGTGTTCACTCGCAGCCTGCAGCTGAATGCAAATGCGTGGCTCCAATGTTACTTTGCTTTTAATTTGGTTGGTTGATGTGGGATAATATTATAACATTCATATTTATACTTTTCTAATTTGAGTAATATAATTTCTAATATGATTTATCGTGCTAGACATTATTGAGTATTAAGAGTAGTCTATAACTTAAGCAGAATATCAAACAGCAACGCGTCAAAGAACTATTTGACACTTTGAACTAGATTTTGAACAATTGTGATTTGTGAAGTTGGCAGCCGCACAGCGGTATTCAAATACAAACGCCACATGTCGAGAAAAACATTTGGAAATCAAAAATATATGTAGTTGAGATAGTGCAAGTTATTCAAAAAGTCCGGTCAGCGCGCGATATTAACAAAGTGTGCCTGCATAATGCATGGCTCGCAATATGGCGACTCACAGTGACGTCACCGATATTGCTTCCAACTTTGCTGCAGTTTTGTTGACGCTGTGTCTATGTGTAAATATCATATATCTGATGTAGGCAGGCGGCGTAGGGTTCCAGCTATGTGGAATCATCATCGTAAGCGAACAAAGGCGTCATTAATTAACATTGACTGCACGGTTGGCGCGGTGGCTGGGCATCTGGCTGCTGCGCAACGTGTCGCAGGTTAGATACTCGTATATGGTTTCCTTACAATGCTCAGTAAATAACCTTTTTTTATGTGTCATTGTAAAATCAGGCTTCGCTATAAACTTTTAAGTTAAAACTGATAATTATAGAAACATGTCAAAAATCTATTTCTTTGTTTGATCTGGGTGTTAAATTGCATAATAATCGGTGACGAGTTGGCTAGTTAGTTAATCTTAACTAAACATCAGGGTCATGTGAAAACGTGGTAACAAACTCAAAAACAACATGATATGATGACGAGATTATCAAATAAAAATCTGTTACACATCCGCGCTGCATATCGGATGTCGGTACAGCCCAGAGATGTTAAATAGTTTGATCTTTGTGTTATGTAAGCATTCCACTATGTAGGGAACTAATTATGCGTCATTAACCCCCGCCCATCCAAAACCCGGCCTCAGCAACACGCTGTAACGTAACATAAGTGAATCAATTAACTACAAATACAGGCCATTGTACACCAAACACGGAATTAAATGAAGGCTGTAATGCCAGCCACATCCTTACAGCTAACACCCGAATTTATACGTTAAGTACTTGCAATAAAGTTTATATTGTAGTGCGATAAGTTGAATGTGTAAGGTAAATTGTTTTGGACTTTATTTCGTTAGTTGTAAGGTTGGTTTTGGTGTGTTTTGATAAGGTGTGGGTCAGCTATTGGGTGTGTAATGTGTTATTTGTCGGCTGTCCATTGTTCTCGTCCGTGGAGTGGACTGTCCGTGTGTCCGTATTATTGTAGTGCTAATGTTTGGACACATTGCTTTTAACGAGCTTTTCTTTCAGTTTGTGCCGCTTTTCCGGCCTATTGGAATCTATTGTGCTGGGTACACATTAGCGGAGGGGTCACTTATACAAACTATGTTTACACATGTCGTATAGGACCATGTACTTACTATGAGTATGTATGTACGTAGGTATCTACATGTGAGCACATAGAACTACCATTACACAATCTGTAGGCAGAAATTTTCGCTCACATCTACACATAAACTATAATTTATTGCAAAAATATCATTAATTTGCATGTGTTAACTAAAAATAGACACAGTAAGGTTATTTTTGAAATAACATTTACATTAGACAAACTTTCTTTTATAATTTAGGCATCAATGACATACGCTGAAGAAAAAGTGTACTCATACGTAATTACAAAATTATAAGTTTGAAATCGCCAATCAGTATTATTTGGCAAGTGATGGTTAATGCTCAACCTTCTCCGTATAAGAAGAAGCCTTTGCTCAGCAGTGGGCACTTATAGGCTACTGATGATAATCATGATGAAAATAATTGTTTACATTGGTGTACTCGATGTAAATTTCAGAAACGAATACTCTTTATTTATATATATTCAGAAGACACAAAGAGTGAATACTTTTGAAAAGTTCATCAAGGACTAGCAATTATGAATATTATGTTTTCATTTATTCAAAACATTAAATTAAAAGTCCTCGGTAACCTACGGTAGCGGACGGTTTGCCGTCAACAAGATTCCGGCAGGTAAAGGCTTAAAGATTCTCAAAACTATACAAGGGTAATTTCAACTTAATATTAATATGGTATTTCCAAAACGATACAACCTTTAAACATTCAAGAAACGAGCGTACTCTTTTTTCAAAGGCCGGCAACGCGCCTGTTATTCCTCTGGTGTTACAGGTGTCCATGTGCGGCGCTGATCACTTAACATCAGGTAAACCGTCTGATCGTTTGCCTTCTATACCATAAAAAAAGTTGAAAATGGTGTTTATTTCGTTACAAATGTAAAAGATAACTTCTCAAGTAAAATAACCGAGTTAATAATTCAGCACATGAACATAACAAGTTGCTATAACTCACAGTGTGCAGGACACAAGTAATACAATGTAAATAAATTAATATTTATATGTTATTACAATATGTCTGCTCGATATAATATATATCCTGGTTTAAGTAAACAATATACCTTGTAACACTATGTTATATATGATTAATGTGTTTAGGTAACTACACGAGTAAAGAATAAAATTAGACTATATTTAAATAAGTAGCCTTACTGTTTGTTCACTGTAACATTTATCTATGTGTGTGTGTGATATTTATAAAAAAAAAACATTTTTCTTATACAAAAATATTTTTGTTTATTCTCTGTTTCTTTTATATGTGTGACATTTTTTAAAATGTTTTTTATACATATAAGAAAAAAGGGCTTGATTTCAATGAACCAAATTGCAAAGATGTTTGCTTGTTCTTCCGAGAATGACAGAGCTGAAGGGACGGGATGGTTTGTAGTCAGTAAGAATCTGACCCTCATTCTCACATCACCTAGGGCAGGTAAAGTCATTTCATGGTTATTCCCCTCAAAAAAGTATGAAATTAAACACAAACCAAGGTGAAAGATATTTTTTCATTTTATCATTTAAAAATGTTACAATCGCGTTTTGGTAATAAAAAGACTAGAATGCAAAACATTTCCCGAGCAACCAAACAAATATTGGATATAATTTCATTTTTCCATTGGCAATAAATTCAATCTCTGGCCAGACTCGTTTTAATCCCGATATCGTTCAAAAACTAAACTGTACATAACAGTACATCAATATAAAAGGCACATAAAGCATAACCTCCCGCCCGCGCGACACATAACAGCGTAATGACAGAAGGTTCATCTTGAATCTTTCCGTGAAATTTTAATTCACACATGCAACACACTACCTACAATACCTACAAAAAACATCTAGGGTTTATCCGAAGTATGTTAGCCGCAGTATTTCGGTGCCATACTGTCTTAATATAATTTTATTTAAATATACTTTAGTTTATGTTCTATATATACAATATCTTGAATATACAATACAAACTATATATATTTACTTAATCTTCTACAGCTGAAGACTCTGATAGTTTGTATGTTTACTTGAACGCGCTTATCTTCAGAACTACTGGTTCGAATTGATTTTTTTTTGTGTTGCATATCAAAATTTGTCGAGTAAGGCCAGGTTATAAAACATCACGCCACAAACAATAAGAGTTGAGCAGTGGTGAAAACACGCAGACGTTGTAAATAAATACAGTTGTGAAGTATTCTAGTATATTAACCTATTGTTTTTTGATGTGGCTTCTAAAAACTAGTTGTACTAAAAGTTGAAAATTCCAACTTAACTCAATGGTGGTAGGCATCGTCTCGTAAGATTAACATTTTTGAATCACTTCTACACCCTAAACAGCAATTAGGATTTCACCAACGTTTAACATTATTACGAGAAGAACTAATGAAAACAGCCATTATATATATAATATAACTGTTTTCATTTATTGAAATATGAGCAGCTTTAAACTTCTGTAAATGTCCTCATGGTGACACAGTATCATCGAGAATAAAATTGTTTTGATGAAGCGAAGCCTGTCGCGTCACCGCCCCTCCGGGACCTAACGGGGGTAGAGGAGGGTTGGCTGAGCGAGGAAGGGGGGGGGAGGGGAAGACGAGTGGAAAAATGAAATGAAAATAATGATAAAAACGTCGACACGATGTCAAGGGACCGTCAGCCCTTCGAACGAGAAGGTAGATTGATTTTTGTTAACGTTTGTTGCTCAATGTTTTTTTGATTTATTTCCGTTTTGAAAACACGAGCTGTTCTTTTGTCAGAATATTGAAAATCTCTTTCCAATTGCTTCTATTGTGATCCACTCATTAAATCAATTAAGATCACCAGGATATTGATTACAAGTTAAAAGTGACAACACTAGTATTTTGGTCCACAAGACTTATGTTCAGGGTTGCAAGGCAAGTGCAATAAGGTACCGTGGTCTCGGCCTGGCGTAGGACAAGGAACGGAGAGGTTTTTAGTCAGTAAGAGTTTGACAGTCCCTCTCTCCTCACCCTAGAGCGAGAGAAGCAATTCAACGATGTTGCCCGTTAACAAAAAATACTATATATTTTGAACATCATACTATAACAGAAGTCTTTGCTGTAGCCAATACATTTAGCAATTGCAATTTTTTATGATTGAGATGAACGTAATTAGCCGAGAATTACAAAATAAAATGATCTCTATGTCTTTTTATCACAGAACTTAATTTAACTTACAAAATTTATTTCAAATTTAGCTTGTTTCATAATATAAAGCGTTCAATCGCAATATGTAACCATTGTTACAGCAACATCGTGATGTAACTGATCACTGATACCGGTTGTTAATGAGTTCGCACAATGATGTATCATAAACTGCTACAACTCTCTGCTCGCCTGGTACCGCGCAATAAATATCACTTTATAACTGCATTGTTGCCAAAATCAGGCGTTTGATAATACTCGTTTAGTACGAAACAGATTATTAAACTTAATGAATGTAGGGATAATGGTCATTGTAGTGACTTAAGTAAGTTCACTTTTTTAGAACTAAAAGTAGTAAGATATATATTCAAATTTCATTAAAAAGTTTGACATTGGAGTAGTCCGACATGCTGGTGGTCTTACGTTAATAATTTCTGTTCTGAATCAACGCTTAACACGTTTAACGCCATGAACCAACATGTGGGCCACGTTAGTGGTGGGCTTGCCCTCAACAGTTGTATGTCGGCTGCCAACAACTTAACAGCCGATATCAATATTTATTGTTCATCTGTTTTTAATACAAATTCAACAGAGTTCCCAAAATAATTATACTAATCAACAAAGTGGAAATTACACATTAAAATCTTAACTATAAACATTGTCCAAATAGTTACCGCAAAGTGCAAATCTTACCCTATTTCTTTTTCAACTACAGATTTTGTTGCAGTGAGCAACGGCGCGCTGAGCGCGTGTTCTCAGGGCGGCATGGACAAGGACGGCAAGAAGAAGCACACCAGACCCACCTTCAGTGGACAGCAGATCTTCGCGTTGGAGAAGACCTTTGAGCAGACCAAGTACCTGGCCGGGCCGGAGCGGGCCAAGCTCGCGTACGCGCTCGGCATGACCGAGTCACAAGTCAAGGTCAGTCTACACAAATACATATCGCTTTTGGGTATTTGTAACTGTCAGTAAAACCCTCAATTTCTATGAAACATGCGCGTTTAATTGCCATAGATAGAAAGCAGAAAGCAGTATTAATACGTAAGAGTATTACTTGTCGGCTTCAATTGAAAGTCAATAGATGGGTCGTGATTGTATGAGTAGTGGAACAGTATAAATGAATATTGGGCTTAACACAATTAGCACAGTGCACGACGAGTAGGGTACAGGCAGCAGCACGCGGCACTCGCGCTAATCCGATTACACAGATTGAAAAGTCAATCACTTAGCGGAGCAAGCGGCGGCGGCGGCGCGCGGTCAAACGCGGCGCTCTATAACTGAGGATTAAACCACGCGACATGTGCACCGACACTTTGTTTTATTTTACACACCAATCTATTTAATATCGTGATTCACACTTTTACCAATCACTGCCATACGCTTCTAATGACTACATGTCTCTCTGTACATTCTATCTTTATTACATTTCTATAAGCTGCCTTGCGTTTTATACGTAATAAAATATTAATATTTATATTACATTCCGATTCCAAATACACAGACTTACACCGTTTAACTACTGGAGTTAAGTAAAACTATGTCCGTTAGCATGAGTCGTAAAACGCAACAATAACACGAGATCATCACGAACATTTTACGAGATATAAATTACCATCTTAAATGAAGCGCCTACTGCACACTGGAGTAAACACATCATGCAAAAGGATCTTTCAATTAAAGCAAACACATAAAATAGGCGTAAAAAGGCACAGTTATAGGGAACTAATTGTGGGGCGACGTCATGCCCGGGGCGGCGCCCCTCCGCACACAACTGCGGCGCTCTCCGCCCGCAAGCGGTCACGGTGCGATTCCGAGCGAAACTTTATTGAATGCTGGTGTTCGGTATTTGTTGTGTTACTGTATTGTACCTGTGATTTTATAAAAAGTACTAATATCCTTGATGTCTAATGACAGTTTCCTGCGTTAAAAATATTCCCGGTAAACAAACCTCTTCTGGTCTAAGATCAGGATCACATTCCGTTTCAATAAAAATATCCATAACTATGAAGTCTGATGATGTGCGCACTCCTCACAAAGGATGTAGCAGATCTTCCCTTCAGAGCAGAGTTTAATGCGAGGGGAATAATCATATTATACTAAGTGATACGCGCTATTAGGGGACTGTTAGGACGCGCGCACAGGGCGCGACACAAACTTCGCGAGATTTATTTTCACGACGTGATTTTGGTACGTAACTAACGCTTCAGTTCTAGATAATAAACTAGTTGTTTATGAAATATAAAATAAAGTATTATTTTGTGGTTTAAAACACTTATTTAAGTGTCTGTGTACGTCTGTAGGTTTAGGATATTCATATGAATTCAGTCAATATAAAAAAAAAAAAACAATGACTGTGCAAATCAAATAAAATTGTTACGCAAAATTTGAACGGTTACAACCAAACTATTACCGTCAAGTATGTAACAAAAGAGCATCACAATGTGCAGTGAGCCTAACGCAGGGCATCGTTGCAAGCAATAGTAAGAGTCGAGTGCAATGATGCGCACACAATGAGATTAATGTGCGCCACATCGCGCGGAAACTGGAGCGATGCTGCGTCCTCAGCAATAATCATGAATCTTCAATATTTTCTGACGACTCCCGGACTATACTGTCGCCTCACTGTTTTATTTAGATAATTGTTTCTCTTGCAATATTCTTTATTTTTAAGGCAGTAAAGGTCTTGAAACTAATATTCAACAAGGTAAAAGTGCCCGTCTTTTACCAACAAAAGAATAGTTTCAACTTAAACACCCCAATATCGAACCTTTTAAGCGGTCTAATGGTATCAATACACAAAGACCAACAATCCTTTACAATACTAAATACGTATCACACAATACACATTCACAAATTGGACTCAAAAGCCAATGTGCGAAGGGATAATCTACAACTTTATATCTAAACACTCTACGCGATTGTCAACTGTATTACTTTGTGTTAAGATTGTTATGGAGTGCAAAGTTAAGTTTGTAGGGTGTTTCAATTCCCCTGCATGGGTGTCATAGCTCATTTGGCATTCGATAAAATTAATCCATGGGGAAGATTAACAGAGAGGGTAGTGTGTTTACACATGTGCGATGCAGCGGCCGATGCAACTCGAATACGTAATGCAATTAATTCTTGGCGGCTGTTTATTCAATAACTATATTTCATACTTTCAGAGCATTCAGTTCGTTTAATTGCTGCATTTATTGAGTTAATGGATTGCCCCTGTTATTATCACTATTGCTTTTCCCTTCTTTTGTTTAGCTAAATGTATTTTACAATTTTGAACATGATTAATTTAAAGTACAAAGGTAATGATTTCAGAAAACACAATAATAAAACTAGACTGCAAAATTCCTTAATTTTATACAACAAGTGAATCATATTCACTTATTCAAGACTCACGATCATTATTTTAGGATCCTGAGTCAAGTGTAGCTCTATGAGTGATTCACTCGAGTCCCGAGCGATTCATAGAACCTCCATTTATACGATCCACATTAAAATTGATTGATCCCGGTTTCCCATAACTCAAAACGAAGAGGCCCCGAGCGCATCAGACCTCCTTTTTATTTCCTCTGAAACTATACAGCACCAATAATAAAAATAATAAAGGTTGATCTTATAATCCGCACCGCGGACGAACCGTTCGTTGAGTTTTACAACTATGATATACAACGTCGTAATAAGTCGCCCTTTAGGCAATAACTCGTGTCGCGCTCAAAATGCAAATCACTGTGTGTCGCTATCATTCCTTTTATTGTGGCTGTAAAACACCGTCGAATTAGTTGTGACCCAGCGATGGATGGTTCCCACAGCGATAGATGCGTTTAGATAATTTTATTGCGTGTTATCTCGTATTTTTTATTCCGATGCTGATTCGGGTTATATGGTCCTGTTTCGCGAATTTTATACGATGCAGATTGTTATAATTGTGCACTAAAATTGATCGCGATTATGGCAATAAAAATCATTTTAATGAAGGGATCGTAACCTGTGTTTACACCTCTCAATAAAAATATCGTTAGTGTAACACACTCATCATTTTATTTCTGAACAAGAATTATTATTATGCGCGACATAAAAAGCTAATCTCCCATCTACCTCAATGTATGAATTAGCTCCAAACAGCGTGACGGCGCGGCCACACTTAATAAAGGCGACCCGGCGGCGTATCAGCCTCTAATGACGTCACAGATAAGATAGAATGCAGTTTAACATGATGCAGATGAGGCAGTAGGGGAGTCCGCCATCGCGCACGAACTGGAACACACCATATTAAATTATTTTGATAGATGACACTATAATTTAATTTTAATGTGTTTTGATAAAACGACCGTTTTGTACCCTCTTTAGTGAATTTTAAATCAAGTTTTTTGCCAATTGTAAAGTGATTGAGGATGAATTAAAATGGCTGAGTCGGCGCTTTGTGAGCGATGGATGCGCTAAATGTTTGTGATACACATTTGCATACAAGTCATTAAGTAGAGGAGTCGGTTAATGTGCTCTGCGCTTTATACTTTATTTTAGTTTGTACTAGTTGAACGGTTTTTGATGACTAAGGCAAATATTGATAAAAGCTCGAATGACGGGATTTAAAGTCAAATTATAAGCTAAACGTGTCGTCTAAAACAACTTGGTTTTGATAATAATAATCGATGATGGTTATTCAATTAACGCTTTAGAGTTAGTATGCACTTATGTCAATTATAAATATTATTTGTTGGTTCCAAAAGTTGATGACCGGTAACGGCTTTCCTGGGTATATGACTGGTCTCAAAACAAACGAAAGTTAGTAATAATATACATACTTATTTATAAAGGTTTATCTCCATTTTCACACCGCTTATTGTAACATTATTAATGATTCGAGTACCTTATATAGGTAATATCAAACTGCGTTAAAGCTTTATGCAAGTAATTAAAGTCGAAAGTCCGTTACAAACATTAATAAGTGTAACCTAATTATTGCATTTTTACAGCCAAAGTCAGTTATTTGCGACGCAACCAGTTTAGGAAGACTATTGCCTAGCGGCCTAAATGATAGTCACTTTGATTAAATGTCTGAATTTCTCATTCATACCGTTACTTGAAGGGTGAAGGGATTGTGATTGACAGGTTTGATCAGATGAGAACTGCGAAGTCTGGGAGCGCCATGCTTCAGCACGAATGGGTCGGCTCGACCGGAGCGATACCACGGCCTCACAGAAAACCGGCGTGAAACAACCACAGCGTTGGGTTTCGCCGTGTAAGTGAGGTTACCGGTGGCCCAATCCTTCCTTACCCCGATCCATTCCCAATCCCTAAATCTCCAAAACCCTAATCCCTAAAAGATCGGCAACGCACTCGTAACTCCTCCGTTGCGGGTGTCCATGGGCGGCGTGATTGCTTACCATCAGGTAATAAGTCTGCTCGTCTGCCGACCTATTACAGAAAAAAAACGCACAGAAATTAAATTACCTACCATCGAAAACCAACAGCTATCAGCAATATACTACGTTATGATTTATTTAACTGACTATGCTGTTAATTGATGAGCTTATGGATCAAGTTGCCACATATACAGACCAAAGTATGTATGTTATAGTAATATATGTAGAGGTATCAACAACAATTAGTGTCGTGGATTCGAAGCAACGTAGTGGATACTCAATCAGATACAACATAACATAACATAACATAACATAACATGGCGTTATGCAGGCATTGGCTGCAGTTTACGATACTATTAGCATAGAGATGTTATTGCACCTACATCGATTATAAACTGAATTCGGTGGAGATACGGGGTCTGCATGAGGGATTCATGGTTGTGTCAGTTATTGAAGATTGGCATTTATCGTGGCCTTGACTGGAGTATCCAGAAACACTATTAGCAGTGCAGTTTGCTGAGCACATTCAAGAAGAAGTTTTGTTACTTATTTGTCATGGTTAGTTTCATATTGTTTCATTGTTTCTGTTTTTCCTACAAACGACTTTATTTATATGTGACATAGCTCTTTAAAATCTGCAAGCTGAAGTGGCAATGCGCAGGCCTCATTGCTTAAAGAGCAGACGCCCGATGGGTCAAAGGCACCTTCTGCTAAGAAGACCGATTCAGAGTCGCGGGGTACCAATAGAAGCGAGTAGCGAGGTGTTGTTCCGCGTGAAGAACTAGGAGGCCTCTGTCCAGCAGTTCTTCTGGCGATGATGATTATGTCGTAGGCATTTTTTATTTTTATTTTGTGTATAGTCCTTTCTGATTTGAATATTTAAACATAATTTAACGAATTCCAGCAGTTAGTCTTTCTCTCATTAAGTTATTAACTTTTCAAATCACCTGTGTAGGTCTGTTCTATACAATCACGCCATTGTTCATGATTGTGTCACAAACAGATTCTCCGATTAGTATCAAGCAGCGCCCTCTGGTTGTACATGTCATAATTAAATTAACATATTCAATGTTCTACATCGCTGTGTGAATATGTTACCACTAGTTGTAGTGCTGCTTATGTCTCGTCTGTTCGTTATATTCACGGAGAATAATGTAGTTGGGATACACTAAAAGCGGTAGGTAGAGTCACAGCACGCTATAAAACAAAGTTCTCTGTCCCTATATACATACCTATGTATGCTTAAATCTTTAAAAATACACAACGGATTGATGTGGTTTGTTTTGACAGATAGAATGTTTGAAGAATTTTGTATCGCCATTACACCCTTAAGAAGCCGGGGTGGGTCGCGAGTAAATTATAGTATTCTTATTGTTGTTTTGATTGCTCTCTTTTGTATCTCGTGTAATATTCGAGAAAACGATAGGTCGCACATTATACCTGGAATAGCTAGGTACACAATACCTCCAATATATCATTTCCAATCACTCCGGCCTAAAGCCAACTAGTAACCAATTCAAATATTGGGCCAATCCAAAAACAACTGGCGTCCCAATCCGACTGTTATTTGTCAAAACAACTGTCAGCCATGTTTTGTTTCCAATCGATTTGTTTAAGCGCGACACCGATGACGTATATCTGCCTAAATTCCCGGCTAAATCTATCCGACAGACATCCATGATTCCATTCAGCCTGTATACACAACAAAGCACAAATCAAAACTCAGCTTTAATCTGATGATGGTAGAGTTGAATGTTGTTTGAGTGTCGGGAGGTTAGTGAAGTGATCAATCGATTGATTCGATGACAGGCGGGAGCGGACGATAATCGGCGCTCATTAGTCGAATGCGAGTACCAGTGAATCGATTCGGTGTGACATCTGCGTTTTCGAATATAATCCGCGAGCGAGATGTTTTTAGTGCAGTGCTGTTGATTGCGATTCTATTTAGTTGTTGATTTAAACATAGGCACGTTTTAATAACTTAGTTTGCATGCATTTTTCAAATAACTGTCTTCGTAGTAAAATAATGTTTCATTCTGCAATTACATATTGTTCATTTTCTCTTTTATTGAACATCGCGTCTATGGAAAAATGTAACTGTTGATGAGATGTCAACTTTACTAATTCTAAGAAAGATTTCAAGCAGCTCGCTTCAAGAACCTACCCTGATAATTGCAATATTCGTGAAGTGCCAATATCAAATAAGCAACAGCGGGCTGTATGTGTGTGTGGCAGTGTGTGGTGCAATAAAATAATACCACAAACACATAGACTTATGTAGTTGTCAATGAGATCGTTACAGGGGGCCCGTGTGCTCGCGGAACCCTAATTGATTGGCGCGCTAACGACCTGGTTTCAGGGTTCCGCACCCGCGACTATCGCCTTATTTATTGTCTATAAATTATTTTGATGGCTGCCTGGGTTTTTATATGTACTCACTGTACGAGTGTTGGAGTAGCAAGGAATGTGAGTGTGGGTCTGTTGTGTTGGTAGATTCAAATAAAGTGTTCTGCATACTATTGCAACTAATAACTACAACTTTTACACAACAGAATGTTATGAAAATTGTGGTATAAAGTTTTATATATATAAAAAATTGTGGTCGATTTTTTCAAATAAAGTTAGCTTAATTGTGAATACTAGATAAGTTATCAGTTATTCCTTGGCTTTTTAATTAACTCAAAAATATTTTGCTGCACGAAAACCACAGGAAAAGTCAAACAGTACAATTATGACAGAGTATGTCATCAATGTTAATACCTGGTGATCTGTCCACCTCACCATGGAGGTTGCTACGTACGGACAGACAGAGTGATGTGGGTCACACAGCTGTGTTGATACGATTTAAGCAGAAATTAGCGACTTTATGATATAAAGAGAAAAAAAAATGTTGTACTTCGTTACCTTGATACAAGTAGTACCCAGATTTTGTTTAAAACGTTATGTAGCTTCGGTGTAAAAGAATAAGAAACATATGAAGATCTATTTTATAATGTAAAAAGGACATAGTAGGATATCTATTGTACAAATACATACATTCTTGTCTTTTTCATGATATCTAGTAGCTTTCAAGTTTTAATCCGTAACTTTTACGAAAACAGTATTTTCTTTTTAACTTTTTTTTTTTAAAGGGACTCTGTATCGAGAATGAGTATTATATCATTTAACCTTTTAATGGTGATAATTTGAGACACAATAGTAGAACAATATGTGCGTGAACGCCGGCGCTCACTTGGAGTTTGATGAATTAATTACTATAATATACTCTAACTCTACTACCAACTCCGGCTGGACATCGGCCCTAACTTACGATGAACTGGCACCCAATGTAAGAAATCAACTTCTAGTACTCATACAATGAGAGACAAAGGTATGAATAGAAAAAAGACGAAACATATTTCCTTCATAATTGTAAAACATTCTTCAACAAATAGATTGACGAAAAGCAAGTCGTAGAATGCGGGGAATCAATTATAGCAGGCAGTGCGCAGCTGAGGCCCAACGGTCGGGGGCTCTGACGAAATGACCGACAGGAAAACATTACAACAATAAGCCGCTCTTTGAATATTATTACGTTCAACAATAAAACAAAACAAATTACATTTAAAATGTATCTCCTCATCACTTAGACATATTGTTATAGAACGGGGATAGATTGACGTCATTAGGAAAATGAAATTAATTAAAGTTGTTTCAATATTATTAAAGATATTTTTTTTAAACACTGTAGTTTTTCATTGTCTAAAGTATTTGTGTAGAAATACACTGGGCTTTTTCAATCGCGCCTTCCCCCCTCGTATCGTAGGCGTGTCGCAAGTCGCAGTTGTGCGGCTACAGACGATTACGCCAACAACAACTGTTGTCCGCAACATTAACATGACAATGCGCGCGCGCCTGCGACCAATAAGTCGCGTGATGAATGGCCCCGCGACGCGATCAGTCGCGGTATGACTGGCCAAATATTGCAACTGTATTTGATTTTAATTGTGATATTAGTGGGGTCCTTTTATTTTGCTATTGATATAGCGAATCGCATCTGCGGCTCGACTCTATTGGAAAAAAATGAACAAATATAAAATGATAGAATAGTTGGTTACAGACTGTACTTCATTAAGATCTTTGCTTTTCATTACGTTTCATTAAAATTTACTTTTGCTACTAAACTAAGTCAGTGTAGACATTCCGGTACACTGTGGAAAGTGTCGCTTCGACAGAAGCTGAAGAAACCTTCACCGAATTATATGTAATTATGTCGACTACCACATGAGATGGCACACAATCATTATCACATAATATAGAGACAGCATCACTCCGCGTGGGCGGGCGACGTAGTGCTGCGTAGCGTGGCGTAGGGCGGCGTAGGGCGGCGGAGGGCGGCACACATAAAAATGCAAATAGAATGTCGACAGGAGCCCCGGTATCAATCACTGCGCGCCTTATTATTGCAGGATTTAGAAACAACATGCGTTTATTGTTTCTTTCAGACGAAGGTTTATGTAGCTGCAGTTTGCAGTTCGTTACTCAAGTTTTATTGGGGTTTCTAGTAAGTGGTTGACTATTTTATTTGGTTTTTTTTTCTGAACACCTTGCAATATTTGATTAAGTAACTTATTTTCTTCATAATATAAACAATTGAAGGATGTATACTACTGCTGAAAATCCTGAATTGAATAAGTGATAAGGAACTAGTATTATTACTATGGCATTTTTCAAATGGTTACCGTGATCCCCAGCTTTCTTAATTATACGATTAAATAAACGAAGGATCGGCTGTTGTTTTCAAATATACGAAAATGAAAATGATGTCGTAGTATCCCGGAGGTTAAGGCCGTTTCTCATGCATAAGAATGTGGGTTCGAAACTTGGCAAATACCAATGTGACTTTTTCCGAGTTATGCACTTTTCATGATTATTTAAACACCACTGACATACGGTGAAGGAAGACATCATAAGGAAACATGGAATAATTATTTCTAATATTAAGTTTGAAATCGCCTTTCCGCCTTAAGCAAGCGTGGTGATTAATG